ATATGACTTGAAATAACTAAAAATCACTGTTTACTACATCAAAATGCATACATTTAGGGATGGGTAGGTGAGTTTTTCCAATTATATGCAAATATAATTCTGTTCTGATGAAAAAGAGCGTCGAGGCAGCATCAACAAGAATCTTCCAGCAAATCCAACTGGTAGGACGAAACTTAGAATCTCTTCGGTCAACACACACACACACACACACACACACACACAGACACACAGACACATACACAAGCATACAAACATGTAATTTTATAATGGAAGTGAGCTAGACAGTTTTAAATGGCGAAACCCAAGATTGTCTGTTTTGAACTTATCGCGCTATACAATTCAAGACATCCACCCATTTTGCGATTCAAACTTTGGGCTCAAAGCCATTTTCCTTTTTTGCTTTTGCACTACTGCTTACGGCCAGCAGTAGTGACATCATCTTTTGTGTAGTTTATTGAAAAATTGTATTAAGACATGTCATCCCGACACCAGCCAAACGGCACACTTATTCAAGTAGCGATGGGTGTTTTTTCCTAAATGCTTCGGAACCCAAGCTCACGTTAAATGCGAAAGACAGATTGTTGTACAGTCATTCCGATGAAGTATTGCGTAACAAAGGCTCATGCAAAAATGCCAACATGGCACTAGAGCCGTGACTTGGAAGTATCAGTCAGTCGTAAAAATGCATTCTATGCTGAGTCCCGTCTCGATTGGCGTTCGACTAATTCGGGACGTTTGGGACTCGGAACCGGTTTTTCGGGTCGGTGGACTTTGGGGCCTCTTTTCGCGAATGCAAAAGAAAACAAGAAACTAAACGTGTCATTAACTCGTCTGAGCCTAGCGGAGGAGAAGCAGAGTGAAAAAAGGGATTTTGACTTACCAAACTGAAAGACTTGGCTAACAGTCGGGGGTAGATGTCGTCCGAGAACTGACTGGCAGTGGGAAAGGTCTGCAACTTATGAATGGAAGACTGCTTGCCTCGGCAGGATCAGTCATGGCTCAACTAGCCCTACCGACATGACAACCTGCCTGACCTGAATTCTCTCTCTCTCTCTATCACTCTCTCGTTCTCTCGTTCTCTCTGTCTGTTTGTCTGTATGTTTGTCTCTTGTTCTGGCCGGTTCGATCGGTGCCGGCAATCACTGGGGCTCTTCAACCTTTGTCTCTCCAATCCATCGTCTCGGTGTCTGTCGTTTGTCTGACAATCTGGCCAAGTCAACCCAATGCCGGTTCACTGGATCTGGCCTCACATTGAGCACACAATTCTCTGCTGTCCGAAGTAGAAAACGGCCTTTCTGTACCGCTCTCCCGAACATCCGGTCGACCAGTTGCTGGTCGGCTTGCCTCTTGCCCGCCCTCAGGAGTCCTTGCACCCGGC